GGGGGGGGGGGGGGGGGGGTTGTCATGGGTAGAAGAAGGCAGGGTAGTCTAGTCTCATCAACGGACATCTTATCTATTCTCCTCTCGATATTGGGTCTTGTCCCGTTGTCGAGTTGTCAAATCGAGACTTATCTCTTGCTATTTGCTACTACAACCAACACACTCTATCTAGTGATTTCCTTCTCGAACAGGCGGCTAAGAGGTCTTGTTCGAGTGTGGGGGGTGTTGTCCGTGGGTAGAAGAAGGCAGGGTAGTCTAGTCTAGTCTCGTTAGCGGACATCTTATCTATTCTCCTCTCGGTATCGGGTCTTGCCCCGTTATCGAGTTGTCAAATCGAGACATGTCTCTTGCTATTAGCTACTGCAACCAACACACTCTATGTAGAGAGTCGTTCGTGATATCCTTCTCGAACAGGCGGCTGAGAAGTCTTGTTCGAGTGTTGAAAGACCGAAACTCCTACTCTTTGCAGGGTATATGACCAACAAGTCCGACGAACCCGACCGCAAAGCCATCAACTCTCCGGGGTTAGCTTTTTGTTTTTCTTTTCCACTCAGTGCAGGTGATAGAAAAAGGAAGGAGGTCAGCTTATTCTCCTTTGTGCAATGGAATCTACTTTTTTATTTTTATTCCATTCTTTGAAACCCATTCTTTTAGAACCCAAAATCTCAATCCCAATTAGAGCGTAGAGTCGTAAACACGCTCGGTTATTTCCACAGATTGAAAACAGATCAAACCATTGACCAAAATACTAAAAGTCGACCAACGTGGCAGAGAAAAACAATCTAAATGTCAAATCTATATCAAAATTGATGTCGAGTGCGTATTTATATGCTTGGTTATTTTCGATCTGAAATTAAATCAATTGAGTTGATTGAACTACCGAAAGCCAGACCGACGAGGCACAAAAATAATAATCTTCATGTCAAATCTATATTAAGATCGCGTCTAAATTGATATCGAGTACGTGTTGACATGCTCGGTTATTTCCAATCTAAAACTAAATCAATTGAGTTGATTGGAATGACGAGACAGATCAAACCATTGACCAAGCTACCCAAAGTCGACTGATTTTCATGTCAAATGTATATCAACATTGTGCCAAATTTGATGTCGGGTATGAGGTAGAAATTACGTGATTATCCGTGGATAGCATACCGTCTCGAAAATATATGGTTTCTGTACAAAACCCGACATTTTTCATATCATCAAGAGAGTCTCGAGTCGTATTTCTTCACGTTTGGATTGGCTTTTGAAGTCCCAAGTACAAGGGCCAAGACGTAGAACCCAAGTGCGTGCATTGGCCGTTGGGCAGCGGCTCGTAGCACTTGGCCTCGTAAGCCTACAAAGCGCACCATAGCCACAGCCATGCCCGCACGTGCATTATTTATTTATTTTTATTTTTTATAATTCCATTTTATTTACCCCAATAATCTTTGAATTCAACCCTTTTGTATTCAATACTATATATATATATATAAATAAGGTATTTAAATGACCCGATATCCCGGTATGACCTGATAGTTTGAAGGGTTAGCTTTTTTTTCTTGGGTTAGGTTGAACTTTTAGAGAATCGAAAATCCAGTGCTCGATCCAAAGGTGTTTAAATGACTCGATATGACCCAGTAGTATGAAGGGTTAGCTTTTTTTCTATTTGGGTTAGGTTGAACTTCTAGAGAATCGAAAAACTAGTGTTCGATCTAAAGTTGTTCAAACGACTCGATATGACCCGATAGCCTGAACAATTAATTTTTTTCTATTTGGGTTAGATTGAACTTTTGGAAAACCGAAAAACTAATGTTCAATCCACAAATTGATTTTTTGGTCGGTTCAACCTAACCCAAACCAAATTGGATATATATATATATATATATATATATATATATATATATTATGGACAAATAGAAGTTTTTAATACTAAAGAACTCGACGGTTCGACCCAATTCAACTTGAAAATAGAGGGTTGAGTTGGGTTGTGAGCCCTATTCGGTTCATTCATATAGCCAAGCCAATGAACCCAAAATTTTAGATTGATTCAAAAAATTCTTTGGATTCAAAAGCCCGAAATATTAAGGAAAAAAATATTGTTTACGAGCATAATTTTCTAAAATAAAATAGTTATCATAATTAAAAAGTTCCGACCTACCTAGTGTTAGCTATTACATATTTATATTAATACATTAATATACATATTGATAGGCGTGTTATCCATAATGTTTTATTTAGACAACATTTGATGTCATACTAAAATAACCACCAAAACAAAACAACATCCAAGGTACTAAAATCAATGTTTTGAAAATTCCGAGGTCCAAAATGTTTAGAGACAAAAAATATGATATATAAATAATTGACGTTTCCAACTTACTAACAAACGAGAGACTCGTAAACATTAGTATTTTAGCTTCAGTGGGTCGGAGTGATTTTACACATTAATGTAAACGTGGCACTAATCCCGCAACTAATCTTAAATAAGTACAGCTAACCCAAGTCTCTTTGATAAGACTCGACTCGACTCCAGCTCTTAAATAAGTATGGCTGACCCTAAGTCTCTTTGATAGGACTCGACTCGACTCGACTCCTGCTGTTAAATAAGTACGACTTACCCTAAGTCTCTTTGATAGGACTCGACTCCAACTATTAAATAAATACGGCTGACCCTAAGTCTCTTTGACCACTTGACTCCATCTGTTAAATAAGTACGACTGACCTTAAGTCTCTTTGATAAGACTCGACTCCAGCTGTTAAATAAGTACGACTAACCCCGAGTCTCTTTGATAAAATTCGACTCCAACTGTTAAGTAAGTACGGCTAACCCTAAGTCTCTTTGGTAGGACTCGACTCCAACTGTTAAATAAGTACAGCTAGCCCTAAGTCTCTTTGATAAGATTCGACTCCAACTGTTAAATAAGTACGACTAACCCTAAGTCTCTTTGATAAGATTCGACTTCAGCTGTTAAATAAGTACGACTAACCCTAAGTCTCTTTGCTAAGACTCGACTCCAGCCGTTAAATAATTATGGCTAACCATAAGTCTCCTTGGTAGGACTCAACTACAACGGTTAAATAAGTACGGCTAACCCTAAGTCTCTTTGGTAGGTCTCGGCTCCAACTGTTAAATAAGCACAGCTAACCCTAAGTCTCTTTGGTAGGACTCAACTCCAACAGTTAAATAAGTACGGCTAGCTCTAAGTCTCTTTGTTAGGACTCGACTCCAGTTGTTATATAAGTACAGCTAGCTCTAAGTCTCTTTGCTAGGACTTGACTCCAGCTGTTAAACAAGTACGACTAGCCCTAAGTCTTTTTGATAGGACTCGACTCTAGTTGCTAATTAAGTACGGCTCCCTCAGTCTCTTTGTTAGGACTCAACTCCAGTTGTTATATAAGTACGACTAGCCCTAAGTCTCTTTGCTAGGGCTCGACTCCAACTATTAAATAAATACAATTAACCCAAGTTTATTTGATAGGACTCGAGTCCAACTATTAAGTAAGTACAGCTAACCCTAAGTCTCTCTGTTAGGACTCGACTCCAGCGGTTAAATAAGTAAAGCTAACCCTAAGTCTCTTTAATAGGACTCGGCTCGACTCTAGCTATTAAATAAGTACAATTAACCCTAAGTCCCTTTGGCACGACCCGACTCCGATGCCACACGTAAGCAACCTCATAAAGTCAAACTACCTTATCACCTTTACAAAAAGTTTGAATCTTTGAAAGGAAAAAAAAAATGGAGGGAGTTGCTTTAGAGCTCCTTTAATCGAAAAGAAAGATCAAAGAAAATAATAATAAATAAATAAATAAAAAGAAGAGAGAGAAAGATAAAATTTCAAGTTACAAGAAAAAAAAAAGAGGAGAGAGAAATCACGTGAAGGACGGAGGGCATAATCGTCATTTCACCTATGAAAATGCTCCCGTGTTTGTCGCGTGCATTTCTCTCTCTCTCTCCATCTTTCATTCACTCGAAATCACCGCATTTTGACCTTTTTTTTTTAATAAAAATATTTAAATTAATCAAATTAAATTTTTTTTATTTTATATGAGAAATGGGAATTTTTATTTAATTTCATAATTTTTTTTCTTTTATAAAAAAATATTAAATTAATCAAATTAATTTTTTATTTTATTTTATAGGAGAGATGAAAATTTTTATTTAAATTTATAATTATTTATTCAAATAATTTTTTAAAATATATATTAAATTAAGTGTCAAATCTTAATTAAACATTTTAGAATAAATGTTATACAAATTGATATTTTATTTTTTATTTTAAAAAATTAAATAAATTACATGAACAACCGGAATCAACTCACCCCAACAGGTATATTGTCGTATTATAAAGATTTATGACTCGAACAATTGAGATCAGTTTAAAAAATATCTAAACCCAATTCAACCCACTGAATGGAACGACGATTTACGAGCTTGGCTGCATTTTGCTTTAGCTCTTCAACCCGAGCTTGAAAAAGGTTAATTTGTCATTGCACTCCTCAATACTCCTTGGAAGGCATTAGTCGGTGAAAGCCCTCCCTTACTTATTCACTCAATTCTCTGAGGTTGAGTTCAACCGGACAGATCTGATGATTCGTTGGAGGCTCCACAAGGAGCTGTCGCAAGACTATCTTAGTCGCAGGATCAGTCCCGCCTAAGACGGGTGCACGGGAAGGCGAAACAAAAATTGAACATCAAATAACCTCAAACCCTCAAGACCCAAAATGCCCACTTCATCATTTTCATAGAAATTTTATGAAAAGTGAAAGAAAAATTAAAGTAATGTGATCTCTCTGTTTGCATATTTGTCCCTTTATCTTTCTACAGTTGATATTACATCACTTGCTTGTTCTTAACACCTTATCTTTGAATTCTAATGCTTATTTAGACGTCTACTCAGTTCCCCAACACTTTTGCACATCAAGTGTTCGATGTAATGCCTAAGAGAAAAAAAAAAAGGTTTTTTTTTTTCTTTTTTCTTTATTTTTTCTTATGCAATGAGGAAAAAAAGAATAAAGAAAAAGAAAATGTTGTTCTCATCTCATCACAAGCTTCTGTTGTTGTTGGGTGCCACAGTGATTTGGATTTGAAAGCTCCCATCTTTTCATGTCTATTGACACTGATAGTTGATACATCACTTGGTTTGTTCATGTCGTCTTTTGACTCCTTGTTTCTCTTCTCTTCTCTCTCTGCCTTCTTTTTCTCTCCCTTGATTCCTTGTCAAGCACTGTGTTGAGGTAAAATCCTCTAATATCTGAAAGAGAGGAGGTTTTTCAGAGAAGAAAAGACATGGGTTCTTCTGTTGGAGCTGGTGGAGAGGTTTCTAAGAAGAAGGCAATGTGGCTCTATCCTAAGGCCATGGGGTTTACCCCTTCTGAGAGATGGGGGCATTCTGCTTGTTACTATCAGGGAAATGTCTATGTTTTTGGGGTATGTGGCCATGTTTCTGTGCTGTTTGTGCTACAATTCTACTTGTAAATGGATGCTCTGTTCTTCTCTTTCTCTCTGTTTTTGGGTTGCTGTTCTTTGTTCTGTTCAGTTCAATGGTTATCTTTGGCTAAAAACTGATTTGTCTTTCTATTGTTTGAGTTTTTGTTTGCTCTAATTTGTACAGAGAGTTATACTGTTTAGTCCCCATTGATTTTCTTTAATGGTAT